CCACCTCGATTCTACCTCCAGCATTCTTCAGAAGTGTGAAACTCGGGTTTAACCTGAAGGGGCGAGTCTTCCAGGGTGGCCTCCACGGCCTGGGGAAGTGTACGCTCGCTGGGAAGGGGGGGGGGCCCCGAATTCGCTCGACGCGCTGACGGGCTGCTCGCAGGATCAGACAGACGAACGGGATCCGAAACACTCGATGACGATGACTGGGCAGAGGCATCATTTACCGACTCACGCTGATTGGCATCAACGTCGCCAATCGGTGCAGAGCGAGTGGGTGCGAAGAAACAAGACTCGTGGCCCCGAGGATCCTCTTCCTCCTCGGGCCAACCGTCATCAACAGGACAATCGAACATTTCCTCATCATCTGACGGAGCAACTGTGCTGTTCTCATCAGCTCGTGACGTAAGATATTCAGCAAACATTTTATGGAAGAAATCAGACCTGCGTTCCCGCGCCAAGGCAACCTGCGCAGCTTTAGCCTTCTTGGCCTGCCCTCCTGCGGTAGAGCCCGTGGCCGCCGAAGCTGCGGAAGTCGACCAGGAGCGTCCAGCCTGCGAGTGGTCAACTGCTTGCCATTGCTTTTGACTGTGATAGCCAAACCCTTCTGGGGCCGCCACCGCACGTCGAGCGCTGCCTGGCAACCGGCAACGAAGGGGGCTCCGGACTCGCTCATGACCGCGTAGTCGATCAGCGCACCGTCGCCCATGTCGCAGGTGCAAGTCACTGGGGCCGGCAGCGCGCGACCATGCAGCCGAGAGAAAGCCCGACCTGTCGAGCGCCTGCGGGTTGACGTTCCAGTCCCCTACGACCAGCCGCGGGAGTTGCAGGGCTACCAGCAGGCGGAACAAGTTGCGACCGTGCATGCCGATGGACGCGACCCCGTAGAGGAGGATGGAAACAAGAGAAAAGCCTGCCAGATGAAGAACAGCTGTCGAGAGATCGTCGAGCGTCGAACTGCCTGGAGCTCGCAACGCATTGACCTTGGCCTCCATCAGACTCTCCACCTGCAGATGCTTCTTGGCGAAAATGACCTTGCCGCCCTCGTTGGCCTTAACCTCCAAGGCCGGCGAGCGGTGGTTGCCAGATGGCCTGGCTGGATTTGCAATCGTACGTAGGCTACGGGCAGCTCGATCCCACTTGCGTAATTGCGACTCTGGAGCGTTAGTCTCGACGCACCTCAGGTACTCGTGACAAGAATGATGCTGAGTGAGATGCGTCCACGCCCGATCCCCCAAGGCGGTGACATTACTGAAAAAGATGGAGGCGGTCTGGATATCGTTGATATCGTACTCCTCCTGCCCCGAAGACTCTTCGCACGCCTGGCGGCGGGCTCCTTGAACGATCCCACCGCCAGGCGAGGACCGTCAAAACGCGGCCTTCCCGACGCCCTTGCGCGCGACGCCCTTCACCTTGGTCGCCGCCTTGGCCGTCGCGAACTTGGTCTCCGAGATCTTGGCCGCCTGCTCCAAGACCCTCTCGTCGTGTCCCGCCTCGGCCGCATCAGCCTCGGCCCCAGCGTCTGCGCCAGCTCCCTGACCCGCAGCAGCGCCTCCTTCAGCATCGGGTGAGACCTCAGCTGTTGTCTCTTCGCCTGCCTCCGTCTTGCGCCGCTTCAAGGAGGAGGAGGCGGAGGAGTAGGAGGAAGAATAAAAAGAAGAAACACAATAAGAAACATATTACGAATCATAATACTAAGACTAAGAAGAACAATACGAAAAATACGAATAATACGAATCATAATGCTAATAAGACTAATAATATTACGAAAACGAATAATATTAATAATACGAGTAGTACGACGAAAAATAATAAGAATAATACTAACGATAATAACAATAAGAATCATAATACTAATAATTATAATAAACAGAGTAGTATCATCAAGAAATACTAAGAATACTACTAATAATACTAAGATTAAGAATCATAATAAGAAGAAGAATACTACGACGAAGATGAATAATACTATTACTAGGAAGAATAATAATCAGACTAAGACTAATGATAGTACTAACAATGAGAATGCTAATCGTACTAATAATAAGAATAAGAATAATAATACGATTACCAATAAGACGAATAATACGACTACCAATAATAACAATAATAATGATAAGAATAATGATAATAGCCAGACGAAGAATAATCATAATAAGAAGAAGAAGAGGAGGTGGAGGAGGCGGAGGAGGAAGGAGGAGGGAGGAGGGAGGAGGGAGGAGGAGCAGGAAGGAGGAGGGAGGAGGAGGAGGAGGTCCCGACTATCGGCCTCTGCTGAGGCCTCCTCGTTCTTCTGCGGCCTCCGGCAGGCCCCTCGCTGCCTTCGGCCGGAGGTCCGCCTCGGAGTGCCAGCCGTTCACGCGCCTCCCCGACAGAGGTCCCCAGCCCGATGTTCGAGGCTCGGGAAGACAGATACAGTCTGACCAGGAGGGCCAACAGAAATTTAAGTGAGGGAAGGGTGTCGGCAGCGGTACTTCCGAACATCTCGAACCTCAAGAGCGGAGAAACAAAGAACGGCATGACCGCATACTTTCGGGGGTGCGGGCAGACCTCTTGGGTCGGCGCCGGACGCCCCTGGGTGGCGCCTCCAGCGCCGTCTGTTGGCTCGCTCCGCGCGCCATGGGGGAGGAGAGTCCAGCGCTGACCGAAGCCGCGCGCGCGGACCTGCGACCGACCGTTCATGCTTTTGGTCGGACCGAGGTATATATTGAGGTTGGTTCGGGGAGGGTACCGTGGTGTTCTTCGTGTTTGTTGGATGTTCTTGTGCACCCAAGGGAGGGTGCCCTTGGCTGTCCTGTGTGTTTTGGCCGGCGGAGGGTCTCGTGTTCTTGAGGGATGTTCTTCTGGCATAGGTCCGACCGTATCGGGTTGGGAGGATGAGGGAGAAATGAGGATGTCATTGCCCATAGGCGGCCGAAGGTATCGTGCATTGCATTCGGATGCTCTTGCTCAGACCCTTCATCCTCCCAACCCCTTCCGCCCAACACGATAATGGTTCTCCTCAAAGGCGGGGAGGGCGAGGAGGGAGAGGGCCGCCATGAAGATCAGGGGCCAGATCCGCCCCGAAGAAGTGCTCAGGACGGGCCTCAGGAGCGGTCCTTGGACCGACTTGAGCGGATATTGTGTTGATTTCGGGTTCGGTGTGGGAGGTTGTGGAGTATTTCCGTTGGTTCTCTGCGGTTTTCCAGCATCGGGATGCTCTCCAGCAGCTTCGCCTCGCCGAGAGCGTTCCAGGGGTGCCGAGTTGTGACCCGAGTGCCAAGTGGTAATGCTAGTCGGGGATCGGCTGAGGGGGGGATGCATCGACCCCCAATCGCCCAATGATCGCCGATAGGTGTCCAATAGCCCCAACCTGCCCAGGAACGGGGCTCATCGCCCTTCGCCGATCTATCGGCAAGGTATCGCCGATTCCAGGTCGATGTTCCCCCCCCCCTTTATGCCAGTCCTCCCCCAGCGTTGCCCTACAGAAGAGAAGGGGTCCTGAGGGACAAGTGTCCTGAGGGACAAGTTGGAGCCGTCCGGGGGTCTGAGGTGGCCCAGTACTGACTCTTGCCAGCGGGAGTGGCGGGCAGGTTCAAGGTTCTGGGCTCGGGGAGGTGTTTGGTCTTCTTCGGCCCTGGGGGGCAGTTTTCGGGCCCGGGGATCGTCACAGACGGATGCGGGGTGGACAGTTGCACCAGATGGACCTCGCGAGGGGTTCAGGGACCGATTTTGAGCGGATTTGGCTTCATCTCCCCTCCTGGCCGATCCTCTGAGGTTCCAACCAGGTCAGACCCTGGCCGCCTCCCAGGGACAAGGGTCCTGAGGGAGAAGAGTCTGGCGGCCCGAGTGCCGATGATCCTCTGGACGTGTGTTCGCCCAATGCGTGTGTGTGTGTGTGTGTGTGCGTGTGTGTGTGTGTGTGTGCTACTCGATGGCATGCAGCGCCTGTATCGACCCTCACTGCACCGCCTGCGTCGTAGTGCAGGGCTTCGGTGGACAGACGTTGGCGCTGCTACACGTTGCAGGGACATCGATGGCGACATGCTGGGCGCCTGGCGACGGGCCCTCCACGATTCGACCGCCCCGACGGGTGCCGGTGTCCGCGTGAGGCATCAATCGGCTCGACGTTGCACCTCCAAGGGGCGCCCTCCCCCCCGTCGGCGCTGACCGGGCCCGATGCGACCGGTTGTTAGACATAGTCGGTTCTCAGAAAGATGAGGAGATCACGATTCGGCAGCGAAATCCGAAGCCTACCCTCGCCGATCATCGATTCAGGCAACTCGATGGGCGGCGGGGTAGGGTTCAGTATCCGTCGAGCACTCGGGTACATCTGAACCCTGCCCCCGGCTCCCATCGATTCAGGAGAATCGATGGTTCATGGGGGTAGGGTTCGGATGTTGTCATTTAACGATTCCGCTGCCACTTCTCTCGTCGCCACGGCTGGATTCGCCTCGCAGTCCTGGTCAGAACGCACCCCTGGAGAGGTCCGGGGAGTAGAGTGGCTGTATCGATACCTTGTCGCCCCCCCCTAGATTCTGCTGCAGTATCGATCTGCAATCAATGCCGCTGCCCAGAGGTCTTCGTAATTACGCCTCCAGAGTTCTCGGGAGGTTCCCCCCTGGGAGCCCCCAGAGATCCCAGGAGGTCCCAGGAAGCCCCTGGAGGCCCGAAAGGGCCAGAAAGGCGATCAAACGTTCAAAGACCCGGATCGTCGTCGGTCGTCGGTCGTCGGTCGGCGTCCGACGTGTGCCGTCGCAGTGCACTGTCGTGCGCCGTCGTCGCTGTCGCCGCCGCCGTCGTCGCGGTCGTGTTCGTCGTCGCTGTCGCCGTCGCCGCCGTGTTCGTCGTCGCCATCGTCGTCGTCGTCGCTGCCGTCGTCGTCGCCGTCACCGCCGCCGCCGCCGCCGCCGCCGCCGCCCTCGTCGTCGTCGTCGTCGTCGTCGTCGACGTCGTCGTCGTCGTCGTCGTCGTCGTCGTCGTCGTCGTCGTCCGACGCGCCCCGACCCGGCCCGCTGGAGGTGCGCGAGGCGCTCTGCGCCGCCGGGCTGCTGCCCGCGGCGGGCGCCCCGCGCGCGGAGGTGCAGCGCGCCGCTCGGGCGTGGCTGGCGCAGCGGGGCGAGGCCGATCGCCGCCGTCACGTCCCCCCCTCGAGCTCGGCATCGTGTCACGGCGGCGAGCAAGGGGGGGGAGTTTCGAGATTCGAGGCTCGAGAGGTTTTTCTGCCGTTTTCGTCGGCTCCTGGCGGTTTTCCGGCCTCGGGATGCGTTCCAGCGGCTGCGCCTCGCCGAGAGCGTTCCGGGAGTGCCTGGATCGTCCCGAACGGCCGCTGGAGACCCGAGAGCCCATCCCCCAGGATGGGGATGGGCCCTCGAAACCCGAAGGGAGCAGCCTATATCCCCCTTCTCGGGGCCAAATTGGCCAGTGGGGCCCAAGTCACGCCAGAGGGGACATCTAAGGAGAGGCAACTACACAAGCAGATTCTCTTGGAGCCCCGCGCGGATCCCCTGGATCTGCGCTGGGGGCCCCTGGCGGCGCCTCCGGCGCCGCCCCTGGCGCGCTCCGCGCGCCGCGGAGGTTTTCGTCCCCACGGGATGACCATCGGTTCAGCGCTGCTCCTCGGCCCTCCACCCCCGACGCCCCTCGGCCCTGGGCTGCGCGGGGCCGCCGCGGGGCGTCGGCGCGCACCCGGTCCGCCACCTCCTTCCTGCTCTCCGCTCCCGCCCCGCCCCGCGCCCGTGTCGGGGCGAGGGCGCCACGAGAGGGGGGGGGCCGATCGCGACCCATCGGCGAAGAGTGCAGTAGACACGTGCGATCGGATCTACATACACAGATTCATATATATCTACCCCCATTTGATCAGGCAGCATGGAGGGCCATTCCGTGACATGTTCAACAGTAGCCGATAAGTGCGTATACCACGCTCGAGGGCTGACAAGTCACACGTGCCTCGCTGTCACGCCGCAGAGGTACGATCAGACATTTTGCTGTCAGGAATCTTAGGCACAGTTTTCGTCGGCCTTTGAGGGTCTCAAAGCGCCCAGGAGCTCCTGTGGGTCCCTGGGGCCAGCGGGGGATCAGAAAGTTCTGTGGGGCACCCGCTGACAATCCGATTTCTGATTCGTTCATGGGCGACAAACACGCGGTCTGGCGGACCGTGCCTCTGGGCCGCGACCCCGCGGATACGGGGCGTTCTTTCGCGGATGGACCGCGCGGAACGTACCGCGTACCCGCGGGATCGCGCCCCAGAATCCAGACCGCGAGGGTGTGAATATGGATAGGATCACCGCTCGTGACAATCAGCGAAGACTCAGGTTACAGGTTCGAGGTTCGATGTTTTCGGACGTACCGATGCCGCTACACTTCCCCCTTTTGGATTTTCGTTGGGCCTCCTGTCATCGTCTCGGGCCTGGCGGTCTTAGAGACCGTGACGAGATCCAAGCTGGTGATTGACAGGCTAACGACATGCACGTACACTTTTGGATGATCGAGATTCGAAGGAGAAAACACGGCGTAAACATATGCTTTAGACCGTCCGCGCGGATCTCTTGGATCTGCGCTGGGGCCCCCTGGTGGCGCCTCCGTCGCCGCCCCTGGCGTGCTCCGCGCGCCAGGGAGGGGGCTCCAGCGCAGATCCAAGAACTCCGCGCGGACCGTCAAAGTTTAGGTTTATGCCGATGTTTCTCTTCTCCTAGAGATGTACAGAAACAAAGACCGGCATGACCGCATACTTTCGGGGGTGCGGGCTGACCTCTTGGGTCGGCGCTGGACGCCCCGGGGCGGCGCCTCCGGCGCCGTCTTTTGGCTCGCTCCGCGCGCCATGGGGGAGGGGTGTCCAGCGCTGACCGAAGCCGCGCGCGCGGACCTCCGACCGACCGTTCATGCTTTTGGTCGGACCGCGGTATACGATCGAGGATGGTTCGGGGAGGTACCCGGGTGTTCTTCGTGTCTGTTGGATGTTCTCGTGCACCCTGGGGGGGGTGCCCTTGGCTGTTCCGTGTGTTTTGGCCGGCGGAGGGTCTCGTGTTCTTGGGGGATGTTCTTCTGCCTTGGGTTCGACTGTGTGTAGTTGCGTGCTCCTCGAGCGTCTGAGGCCCGAAGCTTCGAGGACGGAGCTCTCTGGGTGTCATTGGCCCGCCTCGGGCCTCCCAGGCTCGTGGGGGGGCCTCTTGCAGGCCTTTGGAGGTCCGCCAGGGGGGAGGTGGGGGCCACGAGGACGGGGAGAGTCGAGACTCTACACGTAAGAGTGGCCTTTCGCCAGGGTGACCTTTGGTGCCGCCATCTCGGCGCACCCTGCGCACGCTTCGTGGCCCCACACGGAGCTCCACCCAGATCGATGCTACGCAATGGGGGGACCCTTTGCCAGACTGACCCTCTGGTGTGGGCCCCGTAGGGTCCCCCGATCGCTGGACGCGAGGCGGCAGCAGCGACCTTCGCGCCCGGGCTCGGCCACCCCGCGTGCCCCGTGAAGTCGCGCTCCTGAGGTCACTCTTGCCCAGGGCCATTCCTGCGAGTGGCCGAGAGGGGGGGAACCCTCGAGGGAAGTGCCCCCCCCCCCCCCCTCCTGGGCTCACCTCGATGCCGCCGATGCGATTCGGTTTGATTTCGACGGATCCCGATTCCAATTCGAGTCGGTTTCGGATTCCGGTATGGGATTCGATCTCTCGCTGGAGGCCTATTTGTCTGCCGATGCCTGCCGATTCGACGCTTCCCGGATCGGCTGCCGATGTTTGTCGATCCGATTCATGTCGATCGCCGATCCGAATCGTCGACTCGACTCTGGCCCCCCGCTGCCCCGCGTCAGCGAGGCGGCGCCGCCCGCCGGCGGCTACCTGGAGTGCGTGGCCCGGGTGGTGCGGCACATGCCCGGGGGGGGTGGCCCTTCCCCGCGGGACGGCGCGGCGCGGCCCGCCCGCCCTCGCGGGAGGAGGCGCGCGGGCCGTCCCCAAGGTGTCTCGCGGGATCTCGTCGACGCCGATCTCGCGGTCTCGGTGACCACGTGTGAGCCCCGAGCCCCCGCCCCCCCTCAGGAGTCGTGGGGGGTGGGGGTAGGGTTCCCATGTGGTCGCCCAGCCGTGGCCCATGCCAGCCGTCGCCGATTCGTGAGGGTGAGCCTCCAGGATCGGCGCCGACGTTTCCGCGTCAACGTCTTGGCCACGGCCGTCGCTTCCTGTCCCTCCGTTCCCCCCCCTCCCCGAGAACCTGAGCGCCGCATCTTCTCGTTCTGTCTCTCGCGCCGGTCGTGCTCGCCCAGATCTCCGGGCCCCTCTGGGCCCTCGCGGGGCCGGTCCAGCTCGAGGAATGCGGCGGGGAGGCGGGGTCTGGGTCGGACGGGGCTGGGACGAGGACAGATCCGTTGCAGAGCGTCCCGGAGCGCTCTCGGAGCGCTCCGAGAAACGCCTTGAGAAGGCCGCGGCGCCCGAGGCGTCCTCGGGAGCCGCCGGATCTCAGAGATTCTCGATGTACCCTCACCCGATTTGATCCTCGTCCTGGCTTCGTCTTGTGGGGTCCGGGGTTCTGACCGTGATTTTTCTCTCAGGGGCCCCGGGAGGCCCAGACCCCTTCGGGTCGTGGCCAAAATCACGACGGACGGTTTGGGGGACGTGCCCAAACTGAGCATCGTTGGTTGTTCCCAACCGTCCTGTGGTGCTGGCTCCCCGTTTTGAAGAGAGAGCGCCCCGCGTTCTTCCTCTCCTCGTCCCCCTCCTCCCATCCCTTGCCTCTACTCTCCACATGTGAACAATTTTGGCACACCCCTCACACGGTTCGTGGTCCCATAGGGAGCTCCACCGAAGGCCCCAGTGGCACAGGCCGCATGCGACCGACGCCCATTTTGGCACCCCTCACACGGTTCGTGGCCCCATAGGGAGTTCCACCGAAAGTGGTAATTACCCACAACGCGGTACTCACAACTGCGTATGGATGGGTCCTTCGCTATGATATTTAGCCGATCCCCATCCCCATTGGGCCATGGCATCTCAGCTCCACCAGGTTACCCGCCCAGGAGGGGACAGGTCCCGCGAAGCCTGAAGGGAACAGCATGTAATTACCTCCACCCAGGCGGTTGAATCGGCCAGTTTGGCCAAGGCCATGCCCGTGGGGACAGGGATCGCTTAAACGATGCTCACAAGCGCCCAGACCGTGACAAGAAAGACACCCCCAGACATCTGATGTCTTCTGTTAGGGAAATGTGGGGTCCCCAGGAGGCCCCAACCCTTTCCCCGAGGTCGGCTTTCGTCCCGAGTCGTTTTTCGACGGTCCAAGGGCCCAGCGCGGACCCCTAGAGGCCGAACACGACGAAAGACTGGAGATTTTTTCCCCCACCATCATGTGGTGATGGGTTCTTGTTTTGAAGAGACATTCCCCGCCTTCCTTCCTTTCTTCCTCCCTCCCTTCCTCCTCCCTCTTCCCTCCTCCCATATCTGCCTCCACCCTCCGCATGTCTTTTTCGGCGCACCCCTCGTACGCCTCGTGGCCGAATGGAAGCTCCACCTGAGGCCTCAGTGGCTGCGTTCGCATGCCTGGTCCGCGAAATTCCGGCGCACCCCTCAAACGTTTCAAGGCCCCATAGGGAGCTCCACCTAATGCCCAGCGGCTGGGTTGGCATGCCTGGATCCACACCAATTCGGCGCACCCCTCGCACGTTTCGTGGCCCCTTACGGAGCTCCACCCACATCGACTATATGTAAGAGTGACCCTTCGCCGGAGTGACCTTTGGTGCGGGCCCATTGGAGTCCCCCGATCGCCGAAAGCGGTGCGACATTAGTAGCTAGCGGCTAGCGTCTTGCACGCTTGTGTCTGGTCCTCCCGCGGCCCCCCAAAAGCCGCGCACCAAAGGTCACTAAGACCCAGGGTCATTCTTGCGTGTAGTCGACAAAAGCCCAAGTGGCTGAGTTCGCATGCCTGGGCCACGCTATTTCGGCGCACCCCACACGCTTCGTGGCCCCATGCCGAGCTCTACCGAAGGCCCCAGTGGCTGCGTTCGCATGCCTGGTCCACACCATTTCGGCGCAACCCTCAA